TCTCTCTCTCTCTCTCTCTCTCTCTCTCTCTCTCTCTCTCTATCTATCTATCTATCTATCTATCTATCTATCTATCTATCTATCTATCTATCTCTATCTATCTATCTATCTATCTATCTATCTATCTATCTATCTATCTATCTATCTCTGAAGCAGGAGCTATGGACGTCGAAGAAGAACAGAGAGGAAGGAGGGATCTGTCCTGCTGAGATCCTCTCGATCCTGACTCACGAAGTAGCGCTCTCTCATGCAGGTCGCTGGAGCCCAGTCCAAGCTATGGCACCCCAGGTAAGTCATCCTCCAACCAGTGTCTATGGCTCAGCAGCCTCCGCTCTCTACCTCCTCCTACACTTCTACCTCTACCCAGCGCAGTGCTCCAATGATGTGCGCTGCTCCAGCAGCGTGACGCCAAAAAGGTCGCCTACCTGAATGTCCATCTACTGGACTGGCCCAGCTAGATATAGCGCTGGGCCTGGCTGGGCAGCCCACGGTCTGCACTCAGGAGCATCGGATCTGAGATCCATTCGAAGATCCTGAATGCAGGCCCAAAGTTCTACTCCTGGTGGTCCTGGCCCAAAATGGCCTTCCTCGGTCCCTACCGGACGTCCAGGCGATCCTGCTGATGTAGCAGGTCCTACCATCCATGGACGAACCCGGACCTGGCCTACCTCGGCCCAAACGGGGACCAGTGGTCCAAACACACACCAGTCTGTTCGGACTGAAAGAAAATCCGAAACAACACAACTGGAACAGATGAAAATAGACCATACAAAAGACTCAGCAGAATAACAAAAAAATAAGTAAATGAACGCTGAATCAAAAAAAGAACCTGCGTAGAGCAGAAAACGTGCCTGGCCTGGAAAGCGGTCGTGGGCCTCCAGGTCGCACAGTCCGAAGTGGGATCGTGGCCTGGGGGCCCCCAGCAACCGTCGGGCCCCCGAAACAGGGCCAGTGTACAGGCCTCAGCATGCTACACTCACTAACCACAGACGCACAGGCCGCAACAAAATCCTCGCCAAACAGAGGAAGAAAATCTTAGCCATTCAGGGAGGCAACCCGAGCCGGCCAGACTGAATCAGCACTCCAAAAAGCTGGCTCTGCCCCCGTCCATACGTTCATTCTGCCTGGGCAAGTTGATCCTGGAGCTCGTGCACTGGAGTAGACTACCTTAGCCCAGGCAGAACTAGCGAGATAGGCAAGGGCAGCCATAGCTGAGAGGGAGTTGCTTGCAGGATAGGTGTGGCCGCTGCCTCCATAGCTGTAGGAAGAGAATGAGTGAAGGTAGAAGGTCAGATGTGAGGTCAGGCATGTGGGGGAGATATTACTTACGCCGTGTCTCCTGGCTGATGCTCTTGATGATTGTTGACTAATCCGCTGCTCAAGATAGGCTCCACTGAAGTTTTCAGACTTGATTTATCTGGCGCATGCTTTGGAGCAGCAGCACCAGGGATCGCGGAGAATTAAGGCAAGATTGGGTATCGATTGGAGCGAGACCTGTTGGTCTTCATGGTCGTTGACTAATCCGCTGCTCAAGATAGGCTCCACCGACGTTTTCAGAACCAGGGATCGCCACCTTGGAGCGAGACCTGTTGGTGAGCAAGAAGGAAGGTGGCTGGAGAGGAAGAGTCCGTAGCAGAGAGGGAAAATAATGACACTGTAATCTTTCGAGTATAAATGAAAGTAGTATCATTATGTCCCCCATCTTCTTCTTTTTTCCTCCATTATTATCTTCTCAACTATTGAGTTTCATGTGCTTTGTCCATGTATGCGAAGTACTTGAGAAGTCAGCATTGCGGATTGGGTGCACTGTATTTTCCCTTCCCACTTATGTCACAAGTCTCCTACTCATTTTGCACCACCTAAGGCATGCCACAGAAGCAGCAGCAGCAGGAAGTAGAGGGAATACATTAGTGCAATGTTCACCTTTCACTGCCTTTCAAAAACCTCCCGTCTTTTCATGTCTTTTTTTTTCTCCTTCTACTCAATGTTATAAATCTTCTACCAGGAGAAGCAAGAAGGAGAAGGAGAAGGAGAAGGAGAAGGAGAAGAAGAAGAACGAGAAGGAGAAGAAGAAGAAGGAAAAGAAGAAGGAAAAGAAGGAGAAGAAAAAGAAGCAAGAAGGGGAAGAAGAAGGAGAAGGAGGAGGAGGAGAAGAAGGAGAAGACGAAGGAGAAGAAGGAAAAGAAGAAAAGGAAGAAGAAGAAGAAGACAAAGAAGAAGAAAAAAAAAAAAAAACGCCCCCGTCTGGTCCGGTCCGGGTCCGTCTGGTCCGGGGGGAGGGTGCCGCACGCGGCAAAGCGGACCGGACCGGACGCTCGTCCGGTCCGTCTGCTTGCAAGTATGCTTTTACCTAATATTTCCGAACTGAAGTCAGAAACTCTTAGATGTGTTTTGCTATTGCACTTCAATGATTCGTTCCCTCAAGAAAGATTTGAATGAGGACATGCGCACTCGAAAAATTGACAAAGTATTTCCACCCTCATTCAGTGGAAGTCTGAACCACCTCTGAAAATTTCTAGTAGATGCATGCTCAAATTGCTCAGGGTAATGGTAGACAGGCCTCACCTGAGAAGAGAACTATACACTTGAGATCCATTCTCCACATCCCATCGAGTCAGTGCCAGCATAGCCATCCATGCTAACAATTGACTAGAGCGGAAAGGCACTTCAAAATCCTGCCCACAGCTCACAATCTGTTTCCACCAACAATCCCAGTTTGATTTGTCTGCACCACCGCACCCTGTCCACCTCTCAGCCACAGACAACACTGACAGCATCCCAAATCCCAGCATCAGCATTAAGCATGCAACCACCAGTGCGATGTGGACCTTCCCTGCCCTTGCCTGTGCTGGGATCCTTCTTCCATGGAGGCCCACTTGATAATACATGTGTCGCCCACCACCACCACTGCCATTCATGCTCACCTCTACTGAATCTTCTACCCTTCCATCCCAACCTTGCAATAGACATGGTAAGCATTTACGCCGCAGCCAACTAACGAGAAAGCAGACGAGGAGGGTGGCATGCACTGCAGTCACAAGAAGATGTTGTGGCGATGGCTCAAATAGCACATACTCCAACCAGTCGAGCACAGTTGATGACGGTGATGATCTGAACCCCAAGATTGGCAGTTGGACTGAGGGCCACAATGCACCTGCAATGGAAGAATGGGACTCTAACATTGTAATCGACCCCCATGAGCAAAGGAACACAGACATAAGCTCAGGCAATCAACAACAGCAAAGCAGTTCTGGCACTGCGGACTTTCACTCAGATTGACGCTGTCACCCTTCGCCACATCACCCGTCTTCTTTAACACCCTTTGCCCCCACCTAGCTCATGGTCGAATCGAGCTCAGGGACTTCAAGCTATTCTTCAGCCACAGCTGATGTCAGATAATCCCCCTCCACCAGCGCTACCTGAAGTGTACAAGCCAACCACAAACACAAAGAAACACTGCAGCATATTCAGAAACAGAACATTTAGTGCAGTTATGCTCGCGGATAAGCATTGTCAGCATTTTGCCAGCAATTTCAGCAAACCTTTTAAATTAGGGAAAATTGCATCTGTACCCCCCCACCCGGCCAACACAAACAATGGGACAACATGACCAACTATTTAAAATGGTTCTCCGGAAATCCTCCAGACATGGTATGCCTACAAGAAACCCACCTCACGGACAAGGCAATAATCAGGAAAATGCTTCTAAGCTAGGCTACCAGAGCGGCCCGGGTCCACTTGCCCAACCATGCCAAAAAGAAATTAAAAAAAATAAAAAATAATTTTTTAATTTAAAATTTTATTTTAATTTGGTAAAGAATTTCGATGTGACCCTGAGGCAAAAGTTGTTCAGTTTATTTTTCTGCATAACATAGTGTTTTTTTTTTTTTTTGACTGGGACCTTCCCTAGTCCTTGCACGACCGGGCCGCCCAGGAAAATAGGGTGACCCGGGCGGCCCGGCTGGTAGCCTAGCTTCTAAGACTGAAAAATGTACGAGCAGCTTCCTGGGCCTCTGCACCAATCCGTAGGAACAGCTATCCTATGGCACAGCAACTCAACAGCATCCAAACTAATACTAGGACACAACAGAACGGACTTAGAAAATGGCCGATGGATAGAATCAATGTTCACCTACAAGGACGAATCCTTCTAACTAATAAATGCTTATGCCCCGAATGATTTTTCCCAAAGACAAATCTTCATCCAGAACATAACAACAATGCGCAGCGACCAAAATCATGTAATCCTAGCAGGGGATTGGAACTCAACCCTTGACCCAGCTAGGGACAGGCTGTCATGCTCCCAAGGAGAAAGGGAAAATCTGTTCCAAACGGAGGCCCAAGTAATGCACATGTTAATAATGGAAAGGAATCTACTTGAACCCCTTAGAAGTAATGCACATGTTAATAATGGAAAGGAATCTACTTGAACCCCTTAGAACACTACACCCAGAGATAAGCAGGTACACATATAGGAAAAGACACAGAACCCAGCACATCACCAACTCAGCGATAGACTTCTTCCTAGTATCAGAATCCCTCAGAGGCTCTATACTTAACGTAGGTATAAGAAAACTACCCTATCACAACGGACTAGATCACACTCCTATCTTCATCAGCATTGTTGACCCCCATCCCCGGACCCCCGACGGGGATCCGCGAGTCCGGGACCCCCGATCCCCAGGTCTGAGCCCCCCCCACACAAAAATAAATAAATAAACAAACAAATAAAAGGAAGGGGGGGGGTGCACAGCGTTGCCGCCGACCCGCAGGCATTTCCTGCATTTTGCAGAAAAATGGCCTCTCCGGAACCCCCCCCGGCAATAGAGCCTCCCTTGTCGAGACCGGGGTGGTCCTTCGTGCAGGGGCAGGGGTTGCTGGTGCGGGACTGGGGGTGCCAGGGCCGGGGATGCCAGGGGCAGGGGTCGAGGTGAGTCCACTCCACTCCGTTCGACTAGACTACATTCGACTCGACTACATTCCACTCGACTACATTCCACTAGATTATACTCCACACCACTCCACTACTCTACTCCACTCGAGTCTAGTCTAATCAACTCTTCTCCACTCGATTATGCTCTACTCTATACTACTCTACTCAAGTCTACTCTCTTTGCTCTACTTTACTCTATTCCGCTCTAAACTACTTTGCTTTGTTAGAGTCAGGTTGAGCCCGTTTTTAGTGTCATTTTAGTTTATTTTAGCGTATAGGTCCATTTGAGGTACACGAATCTTCTCTACTCCACTCCGCACCGCTCCGCGTTACTCTACTTTACGCTCCCCTACTCCTCTCCACTCTACTCTACTCCACTCTACTCCACTCTACTCCACTCCACTCTCCTCTCCTCCACTCCACTCTTCTACACGCTACTCCACTCCACTTCACTCCACTAGACTCTTCTCTGCTCCGCTCTACTCTACTCTACACTTCCCTACTCCTCTCCACTCCACTCTACTCCACTCCACTCTACTCTCCTCCACTCCACTCTTCTACACACCACTCCACTCTTCTACACACTACTCCACTCCACTCTCCTCCACTCCATTTCACTCCTCCACACTCCTCCACTCCACATTACTCCACTCCACTCCGTTCGACCCAACTACATTTCACAACACTCTACTCCACACCACTCCACTGCTCTACTCCACACCACTCCACTACTCTACTCCACTCGACTCTAGTCTAATCAACTCTTCTCCACTCGATAATGCTCTACTCTATACTACTCTACTTTGCTTTACTCTACTCTATTCCACTCTAAACTA